ATATATATATATATATATATATATATATATATATATATATATATATATATATATATAGCAGTAAATTGGACTGTGAACATTTGACTTGTCTGACTGCCACATAAGAATTCCAGAAAGGCCTTCAACAATGTTGACTATCCTCATTCAACTGGCAAATTTTGAGTATCATTAGGGGTATTAAAAACCTTTTGAAACTTTGTGTTGAAGAGACACTCTATAATTTTTAGAGAGAGAAACTGTGTGGCTGAATGACTTGCTAATTTTGTCAGAACCAATAACTGTAATAGGTCTTCAATGATAGTTTTCCCAATGAGTTATATTTTTTGCTATTCAAGTAATATGTCTTTACTTTTTGGGAAAATTAAAAGAAATCAAGATATTTGCCATTTCATAGCAAAAATAGAGCAAGTTGTGGATAAATGTCAATAAATTACATTAAACATATGACTTGTCTAACTTCCATGCAAGAAATCAAGATATTTGCCATTTCATAGCAAAAATAGAGCAAACTTGTGGAGAAATGTTAGCAAATTGCATTTTAAACATATCACTACTCCCAATGCCACACAACAAATCAAGATATTTTCCATTCCATAGCAAAGCTATGGAGAAATGTTAGTAAATTGCATTGTAAACAGATGCCTTGTCTGATTGCCATACAATAAATCAAGATTGTTGCCATTTCATAGCAAAAATAAAGGAAATTATGGAGAAATGTCAGTGAATTGCATAGTAAACAAACATATTACTTGTCTGACTTCCATATAAGAAATTGCATTTTAAACACATCACTACTCTGACTGCCACATTATAAATCAAGATATTTTCCGTTTCATAGCAAAAATAGAGCAAAGTTAAGAAGAAATGTTAGTGAATTGCATTGTAAACTTATGACTTGCCAGACTGCCATATCAGAGATCAAGATATTTGCCATCCCACAAAAAAAAAAAAAGAAGCAAAGTTAAGAAGTAAGGTCAACAAATCGCATTTTGAACAGATCACTAGTCCGACTGCCATACAAGAAATCAGGATAATTGTCATTCCATAGCAAAATCAGAACACTGTTGTTAATAATTCTCAATAGATGTTCCCAATAGAACTACGGCTGGGAAGAGAGGTTGTAAAACCCAAGTTTTAGGGCTGTAAAATGGCTTTGCTTTTTCACTGTGACTCTACCTCAATAAACAGTTCCTCCTGATGATTTTGAACCCATATTGTAAACTAGCTGTTGCTTGTTGTTGGGCTTGAATCCTCATCAGATTTAGCTTCCAAAGTCTGCTCCAAAGGTCTTTCGGCATCCGAACTACCTTTCACTTGACCCGGGCCAGTGGAAACTTTGACAGTCGCTGTTCTGAGCAGCCGCTCCCCCAGAACAAATCCACGACGGAGCTCTTGTGAGACAATGCCGGCTTTGAACTGTTGGGATTCTTCTCTTGCAATAGCCTCATGGATCTATAAGAATAGAAGGCTTGGAATGTGAATCAACTTAACTTCCATCAGTTTAATCAAATACACCAAGAATGTGCAACAAGGCAGGAAGTAAACTTTATCGAATAATCAACAGAAAATGCAGTTCAACGGCCAAAATTTAATCTGCTACAGGAGCTCCTGAGACCAAGTTTGAAGTAAATATAAAACCTGAGAAGTCAAGAAAAAGTAATATCTGGCTTACAAATTGAGTTTGATTCTTATCAATATAACAACCGAAATAAATATTAATATCAATACTTTAAGGTCCCACACAACCTCTTGCCATGTAAAACTTTAGAGAACAAGGCAGGAACAAAATCTTCCCACTTTGTGAAGAAAGAAAGCACAGCAATTCCTATTCAAATGATGATCCATGGATGCATAAACTCTATCATCTGGTTCCCTAATATAGAGACACCACACGTTCGTGAAACACTGATGATCGATTAATGCTTAAAGTTCCTCATGACATCTAATAACAAACATTATTCCAATATATAATCGATACAATTAACATTCCTAGCGCATTTTGGCACCACTTGGCAACATTTTAAGTGCTCACATACTTCTAGTTAGTGCTAGGGCTGAGCTTGGACTCAAGGACAGCTGGATGTTTAATTCGTACTATACTAGGAAAACCTTTGACTGCTTACTTTAACTAAAAGTGGCAGATCTCAAGGCATCCAGGTGGATATAAATATATGCTGGGAGTCACATAAGCTAAATGTTGATTTAACCAAACCATCAATTAGGTCATAGATACATGAGGGCGGGCCTCAGTACAGTAGTAAGGTTCTTTCTTTGCAACTTGGGAGACTAGGGTTCGAGTCACGAAAATGACCGCTTTGAATATTTAAGAATAAGGTTGCGTACATTGACCCTCCCCAGACCTCGAATCGGTGGGAGCCTCGGGTATGCCCCTTTTGTTTTATCAATTAGGTCACAACCTCACGATGGCTCAGAATAAAAAAAGGACCTTGTATCAACTAATGCTGCCAATAGTTCTTAATATTTATTTCTTTACCTAACTAGAAACCAACAAAAATATAATCTCATAAGAAAATGAGTGCAAACAACGTGTGCAAAGGATAATGTACTGTCGACTTCTAAGAAAATAACCTGGACTTCAGTGCATGCTGGAAGAAGACAGAAAGATCTGCAGTGGAAGGATTTTAAGAGGTCAACTTACAGAAGGATCAAACGGCTTGCCCTCAGTCTCTACCAGAGCCACACCCAAGCTTCTCATGACCTCCACAAACTGCTTGTATATGCCTTGATAACTTGTCTCGATCTTCTTCTCCTTCTCTGTTTCTGGTTTTATCTCCTTTTTGGTGTTTTCAAAACTGTCGACCATGGGCAGCAAACTCTCAATCACATCCCCTTGTATATCGGATGTAAAGTTAAGGCGGTCCTTCTCAGACTGTTTTCTAAAATTCTCGAAATCAGCTTTCAGTCGAAGGAAACTTTCCTTGCCAGAAGCTATCTCTGCTGTGATCTCTGCAAATTTTGCAGTCAAATTATTCTTCTCAATCTCAGTAATACATATCAGAGTCTCATTTTCTTGGGCACTCTTTTCATCTCCATCTATAATAGCCTTCTTGTAAGCTTGAATGAGGGTCTTCATTGCAGGCAGGTCTTTTTTATCAACTGCTCCTGACATCTGGTTCTCTTCATCACCATTTATAGTCTGAAGCAAATTAGTACCATCATCAACATATTTATCAAATTTAGTTTAAATAAGAAGAATGCATTTTATAAAAAGGTGAAACTATTTCTCTTCCAGTAATCGTATTACTTTTGTCCCCAATTCCTTATCCATCTATATAGGATGGTCTGCAAATTGAACCTTTTTTCCTTAAATTATAGAAATTTATAGCAAATTTAGTAGTCTCTATTTAACTAATCATTCAAACAAGAAGAAGAAGAAGAAGAAACTACATCTAACGTTATACAGCCAACAAAACTTGAATTTTCAGCTGAAAGAGATACAGTGAGAGCAGTTTTTGTGAACCGACTATCAAAATAATATTCTTTTCCCTGATTTGACGAAAAATTGAAGAATTCGTTGCAATTTTAAGAGAGTAAAGCACTGGGAAATGCAAGATCCGAACTTGTGCATAACAATTCATGTTCAACGACAAAAGACGTAACAAAAAGAACCTTCTTTGAGCATCAAACCAATCCATAGGGACATACCGATCACAATTGCTGAGTTCTTATCCTACTGGATTCAAGAATTGGAATCGACCGGGTTAAAATTGAAGAGCGAAAACGAAAAAGGAAAAAAGGCTGGCACCTTTGAGGTGGAATCTGCGACATTGACGCACGCCTTGAAGGGTCTCCGGGGCGGCTGCGAAGATGAGAGGGCGGATCTGCCTATCGGGTGCCGGTGGACAGGGAGCGCTGTCGGAGTTTGGGTTTTGGTGGGTCGGGAGGCCGAGAGTGGGCGGCGAGAAGCGAAGGAGAGGGAGTGACTGGCGATGGCGGCCATGACGAGAGCAATCCACCAACCCGAGATGGCTTCTCTCCGTCTCTAATGCGCTTCAATTTTATGGTGGGATTAAATAATATTTATAAAAACAAAAATAAAAGAAAACTTTTTCTTACACTTTCTTTTAATAATAACTATATACTTTCTTTTTTCTCTACGATTTATATATTTTTTTTATAAATATCGTTTTTTCACTCCTAAATCAACCTCCCCTCCATGGGTGATCTTGATTGAGTGAATTGATGAAAAAAATATATATTAAGTTTGATAATTTTTAGTAGAGTACCTCAACCTCGAAACACCTACGATGACATGAAAAATATATTTTACTCGTATCTTCATTGGACTCACCATCACCTCGAGAGAAATACTGTCAACTATCTTTATTTTTAAATGGGTCTCTTCATCAAACTCGTCATTTTTGCCCCACTCAACATCAACCATAAGCAAGGAAAGGAGGGGAGTAACTCACCCTCGCTTACGCCCTTCATCGGAGTTGCGAAGGATTCCCAAAACCTCATCGTCAACTACTCGCAAGGAAAGAGGAAGCATGCCTTCGCTGTCATTTGTAGCCTTTGTTGTTGGTCGCAAAGATTGTGCTTCTATCGTTAGTCCAATAGAAGTCATTGTGTTTTTCTTGCTAAGCGAGTCTAGTAAAATGGATGATCAGTACAACATAAGGAGGTAACTAGCATGACGATCAAAGAGGCGAAGGACGAGGTGAAGAGAGGTGATCAATAGAGATAGAATAATTATTTTTAAAAAAATTCTAGGATAATTTTTTATGTTTTTTTCGAGAATTTACCCTGATTCCTTCCTTTAGAGATAATTTACTCATCATTTTTTATTTTCTTATTATCTTAATCCTCTTTCCTGTTTCTATTTTCGACTTCTTTTACTATGCATTACCATACTCTTAAACGAACTTTGTTATATTAAGTTTTAGTTCTAAAATCATATTAAAAAATATCATGATGCAAACATACTAAATTTAATCCACATAAATAAAAAAAATATTAATTTAATATTCAATGTTATTACTCGTTGTGAAGCAAGGTGGATAATATTTGTATCGTTACACTTATAAATGAACTACAACATTATACATATTTTTGGAATCATACTAAAAAATTTTCAAATTTCATTATGAATTTTTGAAATTCATATAAAAATATTATAAGTTTTTCCTCTTACTTCAATATCATCAAATCTAGTTATTTTGATCACTAGATTTTTATCAATCTTCGTTATTAAAGACTGGTTATGATGTCGATAACATTAAGAGTATTTTTTGGTATTTTATATTTTAAACTCATTTAATCAAAAATGAAAAAATCTTTTTTTCATCGCCGTTTGATCGTCGGTCACTCCTTGCATCAACGGATAAAAAGAACCATTGCGACCGCAGCTATCTCCGATGTAGCACACGTGTAAGAATCAAATTAGTGGAGTCCGAATACTGTTCAACTCCGTGGAACCCTCGATTCCTTCTCCCCTCTGTTCCTGCGCCGCTCCGATTCCCCCCTCTCCTCCTCGGCGTCCGCCGTAGCCGGCGCCATCGAACCAATCCGAACAGCGTGCGCCCCGTAGATCGGCAACCCCTGAGAGGTTGTCATTGTTTCTGTTGGTTGCCGTGTCCCCACGGTTTCGATTCGGTTCGATGATGACGGGGGCGACCAAGAAGGTCGGATTCAGCGAGGAAGATGTCTCTTTGCTTCTGCAAAGGTTTCTCTTTTAATCCTTTTTCTATCCGTTGTTTCTTCGATCCTGTCTTTTACGGTTTTCTGCGTCTTTAGTCGGCAATTTGGATCAAGAATCTTTCGGTGGTTCGATCGGTCTGGAGTTTTCTGTCGGATTCTACCTTCTGCACCAAGTCCGTGAGGTTTTTTTCTCGGATTGGAACTCATCTGACGGTTTGGTATGAGATCGCTGGGGAAAAAAGATCTAATTTTTGTCGTCATTGGTGGTTTACGTGCCAAGGGCATGGAAATTCTTCGTTTTTTATGCCAAAAATGGACCTTTATGTTTGTGCGCTATTGGGTTTAACATCAATATTTGGTTACGATCATAAGTTGGTAAGCTTATGCTCAATCTTATTTTTCTCCCCTTCTTTGATCGTTAATAGGAATTGCTTATGTGGGGTTCACACGATGTAATTGTCTGTATTCTCGCACAATGTGACTTGGCACTTACCTTTTAGTAGTGTCCACAGCAATCTCAAAGCATGATCCTGTTCTCTGCATTTGTTGTTTTATTAAGATCATAAATATGTGAATTTACGTTGACATGTTTTTATCAGAAATAATACATCCAGTTAAACTTTTTTACATTACAATATAAGAATTTTTTTTCTTGTAGGTACAGCCCAGCAGTGATACTTACTCTTCTCCAAGAGGTTTCTCAGGTTGCTGATGTTAGTATCGACTGGAGTGCACTGGTCAAGAGAACTGCCACTGGAATTACTAATGCTCGCGAGTACCAGATGCTGTGGCGGCATTTGGCCTACCATCATGCATTGCTGGAGAAGACAGATGATGCAGCTGAGCCTTTGGTTTGTTCACTTCTGTAGTTCTTATTCCATGCCTTCAAGTGTTATCTAATTGTGGAGCTGAGAGAGATTGCTTAAGACACAATACTATGATTTACTTGTGGCAAGATTTCTTTTCTACAATTTAGCTTCTTTTACTTGCAATAGCCCACCAAATTTGGTTCTAAGTAAAAGTTTTTGCTAGATTAAGTTGATGTAAACTGGCAGGATTCATCTTGTGTGGTAGTATTATGTTTCATGTATTTATATGATTTTGTAGTTAATAGACCTATCTGGGTATTCAATGCTTGTGGCGTATGAGATATGAACTCCAAATTCAGAGTTGTAAAGACAAGTTTGAAAATGTAAAGTAGATTAGCCATTGAATCAGCATGAAAGAAAATCCACTAGAAGTCAGAAATTATAGATGCAAGAAGGTGATGAGAATCTTTTGAACCTATTAACCTTCTCTTTGTTGTTATTAATTAGTCAACCTAAATGGCATGGCCCAAAACTCAGGCTCAAGACAAAATGGTACTAGATAATTTTAGATAAAGGCTTATAATTTAAACCTTAACAGTGCAAGAACACCCTGGATTTTTTTATTCTTGTAGTTACATGTCTCCAACAAACTGTAGATCCTTAAGACAATAATTTCCACTCTCTTTTTTCTGTTGATAGGTTCATTTTAGAATGATCGTGTAGCATTTTGTATCATGATTCTGTGCCTCTAACAAGCTTGCTTTTTAGAATGATCATGTAGCATGCTATATTGTGTGCGATTCTGTGAACCTGTTTCTCTAACTATTTTGAGACCTTATTACTAATTTCATGTTGTCTTGGTCCAAGAATATTTAATTCTAGTGCTTCCTTGCCTCTGCTTAACTGAAAAATTCATCTCATGTTCATATTTCATCTTAGCTTTGAGTATTATTTACTCACATATACAAGTTCACCTATCCTGATTGTCTAATATGTAGCGCAACTTCCTTTCAGGATGATGAGAGCGATCTTGAACTAGAAATAGAAGCTGTGCCTGCTGCTAGTGGTGAAGCCTTATCTGAGGCTGCTGCATGTGTCAAGGTATTGTCGTCTGATATTTACAAGTATTATCTGACTTTTATTTCTGTCTGATCGCATTAAATATACCTGGTACATGATCAGGTTTTGATCTCATGTGGCCTGCCACGTGAACCAGGCTCCACAAATCGGACAAATCTAGAAGCTCCCTTGGCTGTAAATATATCCAGTGATCAAAGGTTACATCTCCCGTCAGACAAACAACTGCTCTCTCGGGTTAACCATGAAAGTAGCAGTGCAATTACTTCTCTCCAGAAGCAACCCCTGCCAGCAGGAACTTTTGCTCATGTATCAGATGGAAATGATAAAAAAAGGAGGAGAACATGGACCGAAGAGGAGGATATGGAAATCATATCTGCAGGGCAGAAGTTTGGTGAAAGGAATTGGGCAAACACTATTAAAGGAGATCACCAACAAGGCAGAAATGCTTCACAGGTATCTCAGCTACTACATAGAGTGTTAAGATGTTTCTATCTCATGTCTTTTATTAGTTCTCAGTAATATGATTATCTGTATCATGAGTTAGTAGTTTGCAGTTCTGGACCTTGCTAATTGAGTCTCGAACTTGAATGTTTATGACAATGGTGCATGTACCTGTAAAGTTTTTTCTTACAATGAAGAAGAGACTTGCGGATGGATCTTTTTTTTTGGTTTTGCTTTCCCAGAAGGTTCTGTTACTCAGCAATTTTGTTATCTATCCTTATGATGAACATATCCAGAACAAGTAATCTGGATAAATTTAGTTATGATTTTTTCATGGATCATCCTATTGTTCAATATTGGAGGATACTTGAAGGAGTCTGCAAGTGTAATATGTATCAAGCCAGAATGCAAATTTAGTGTTAGTACTACATAAGATGATGAGATCATTTCAAGATTTGTGTGTCTGTGTTTTGTTGTGGTACATCTGTTAGTTTTCTAGCATTTGCAAATGTTGCTTGATAATTTGTATCCCCTGTAATTTTTCAGAGATGGTCCGTCATTCGGAAGCATGATGCCAACTCACTAGCAGGTTCCAGCAACAAGTCCGCCAGCTCGACCCGATCTGAGGAGAGGCTGGCGGCGGCACAAAAGGCAATTTCCTTGGCTCTTGATGTGCCCAAATCTGCGAAATTATCAGCTGTACTATCAGGTTCTTTCTCTAGTACTTGGTTTGGCTTTTGTTTTCTTTTTCCTGATTCCCTCTTGTACCTGGTTAATCTTGGGCACATATATACATGAGTAACTGTACAAACTGTCTTTTGAGTAATGATTCACTGACATTTGAAACAGGTGGAACACAATTAATCTCAGCAGCTAGTTCTTCTGCACCTTCAGCTGTGCCATCTGAAGGATTGCCAGTCTCAACTCAACCACTTAATCAACTTCGGGAAGCTTCCACTCCTGCAACATCTAAAAAGATGATAGTTAACACTTTGAACAAATCTCGGACAACCCAAAAAAAGTCCATGGCCCTTGTGAAGCCTTCTACCGGTCCAAGTTCTCTGATACAAGCTGCTGCATTTGCTGCAGGGGGTCGCATTGCCACACCTTCCACTGCTGCCTCTTTGTTCAAGGCTGCACAATCAAAAAATGCTGTTCATATCAGGCCTCGCGGAGGTTCTCAATCTTCTACAATTAACAACGTTAAATCACTGGCTGTTACTAACACAACAGGCCTGCAGCCTGCTAGTGTCCACTTCAGCAGACCTGCTATTACCATGGCTGTGCAACCTCCAGAAAATGCAGTTTCATCATCAGCAACTTGTGTGAGGCATGGGGGGCAGCAAGCGCAAGGCTGCTTTCAAGGAGTTACAAACAATCCTCCAGACACAGTTTCACATGAAATGGCTGATTTGTCTGAGAGAAAGGATGATATTGATATCTCTGCCATTGATGTGGATGAGATATTGGCTGCAGACATAAAATATGCATCTGAGATGGAATCGGATGATATAATGGCTGATGAACCTCAGACTGATCTGCTGAATTTGGTTACGGATGCAACTGAGGACAATGAATCAGAAGCAAATGTGGACAAGCAGAAGGATCTTCCCTCTGATGCTAAAACTACTGAGAACAAAGCCTTGGAAGTCCATGATAATGGAGATAACACATCGGTTGAGAAGGGGACTGCATCATTCAATGCCGAGGTTGGTAACACTTCACCCGTGGAGAAATTGGATAGTCAGAATCATATTATTAATCAAGAACAGTTAACTGGTGTGGAAATTATGGCTGATGAGGTCAAGAAGGGATGCAATGAAGTCAACCAACATGCGCTTCCAGAGGACACTGCATCAGGCAGCAAAAGACATGCCACCAATGACTGTGATATCTCAACAAATGACAAACAGTAAGTTAATGAGCATCATAGGTCATGGCAGACAAGTTTTAGGACCTCGGCCACGAGTATTGGAGCCTGCAAATGGCGATCCCGTGGAACCTGAATCTGACTGCATCAGATGGCGCCAGTTTGGGGTGCAATGAGTGTCTTTTGTTGGTCTGAAGGTTTTACCATCCATCTCGAAATCGAGAAACTGACGCTAGTTCATTATGCAGCATGTTCTGTCCATAAAATTATGCTGGTAACTGAGAAAGAGACAGAAGAACTAATTTTATTTCTGAGCTTTTGGTTGCTTAGCCATCTTTTATAAAGAAAAGATGTAAATAGATACTGTACCTTGTAATTTTTCCTTGGAAGTGAATCGGTGAACTCTACGGATGCATTTGCTTCTCATTCATATCAAAATTCTTGACTCTTCAGGATGCATGAACATATCAATGATTTGATTCGGTTGCCTCCTAAATCTCTATCAGCTGCCAAGAACAGTACTAAGTATTGTTTATCTGTTCCACACTGATATCTCATTTCCAGGAACAAGCCAACACTCAAGTCGATGAAAAGCCAACACAAGTTCTTTTATGGAACGAGACGACTTCCTCCTATATTAAACCACATCACAGTTGTCATCATGAACTACCATGTTACCTTACCTAGTGGACTCTCTATCTCTCTCTCTCTCTGTACATCTGCAAACAAGAACTCAAAACCTAGGAATGATTGGAGAACAGCATGCAAATGAAATCTATATGTAATTTGTAGATGATGCACCACATGCTCACTGACCATGGACTTTATGATCACAAGTTCCAAAACCAGCAATAGTTTACAGGCTCCAAAACAAAACCTGCCACTGAGAGCACAGATCTTAATCCTTCTTCACCCACTGGATATGGCAACATGTGATTGGAAACACTAGTAAGTATACTCAACTTGAATCTTGGATAGTATTAGCATAAGATTAGAAGGACTTTCCATCAATTTAAATGGCCACTTGGTCTCTTACGAGTCACATTCCATCATCATCGACTCCCGTCACCAAGCAAACTCTTGTCGCTTGTCTCCGGCACCAACTTACTGGTAGTAGAAGGGAGAAGCGTTGGGAGGGAGGAGGAGGAGGAGGTGGGTGGCCATGTCGGTGGCGAGGGCGTACCAAGGGAACAGGTCGGGGGCGGTGGCGGAGTGGCTGAACGAGGGGGACAATGCGTGGCAGATGATCTCGGCGACGTTGGTGGGGCTGCAGAGCGTGCCGGGGCTGGTGATCCTCTACGGCAGCATCGTGAAGAAGAAGTGGGCGGTGAACTCGGCCTTCATGGCGCTGTACGCCTTCGCCGCCGTCTGGATCTGCTGGGTCACGTGGGCCTACGGCATGTCCTTCGGCGACAAGCTGCTCCCTTTCTGGGGGAAGGCCAGGCCGGCCCTCGGCCAGAAGCTGCTGATCCAGCAGGCGGCGCTGCCGGCCACCACGCACTACCGCCGCGACGGCACCGAGGAGACGCCCATGATCACGCCCTTCTACCCCATGGCCTCCATGGTCTACTTTCAGTGCGTGTTCGCTGCCATCACCGTCATCCTCCTCGCCGGCTCCCTCCTCGGCCGCATGAGCATCAAGGCGTGGATGCTGTTCGTCCCCCTGTGGCTCACCTTCTGCTACACCGTCGGCGCCTTCTCCCTCTGGGGCGGAGGCTTCCTCTTTCAGTGGGGCGTCATCGACTACTCCGGCGGCTACGTCATCCACCTCTCCTCCGGCGTCGCCGGCCTCACCGCCGCCTACTGGGTCCGGCTCCTCCATCCATCTCCACGACCGCTACCACCTACTCCTCGCACTGCCGACTCACCTACTACACCCGCATGAACAAACGGTGCAGGTCGGACCGAGGACGCCAAGCGATCGGGAGAGGTTCCCGCCCAACAACGTGCTGCTGGTGCTGGTGGGGGCGGGAATGTTGTGGATGGGATGGACGGGGTTCAACGGCGGCGACCCATACGCGGCCAACATCGACTCGTCCATGGCGGTGCTCAACACGCACATCTGCGCCGCGACGAGCCTCCTCATGTGGACGACCCTCGACGTGGCCTTCTTCAAGAAGCCTTCCGTCATCGGCGCCGTGCAGGGGATGATGACCGGACTGGTTTGCATCACTCCTGGCGCAGGTAACCCAACCCATTTATTTCTCCTGCCTTCATTCATTATCATCTCCGAAGATTCTTCCCACGATTAAGTTCGGCTTGAATCTCTTGATCTGTCGTCGGCTGAGTTCCAACTCTTAAGCATACATGATCATAAAAATCGAACCATTCATACTCGGAAACATTTCCCTCTATCCATATCCTCTCACGCCGACCATATCGCCTCATTTTCTATCTATTTCTTTGTCTTCGGATACATAAATTTAAATTAATTTTTGTAATTTAAACATAATTTATAGTTAGATATGCAGTTGGACAGGTTGATCCAATAGTCCAATCGAGTCATTTTCGGATTTACTTATGATTATGATTCCTATGATGTTAAGTCAAAGCTTGGGAATAGGGGAGGAGATGCCTGCTCTTCATCATCCTCCCCGGAGGACGCCTTTGTTTCTGCATTAAAATGTATGCTTCTGATAGATAGATAGATAGATAGATAGATACTTGATAGAAATATTTACTAGTAGAGTACCGTATGTATGTATGTATGATATGATGATGGGTTGGCGTTTAAGATCCATCCAATTATTGCCATAAGATTGCGTCTTTGTCCTATCAAAGAGGTAATTTGTAAGGGTGGATCTAACATTTGGGATGTACATTAGGTTATCCGAAAGAGTGTTGTATAAAATTTTATTGTTGTTGATAATTATCTCATAATATATATATATAACATGTCAAGTACTAAACTATTTTGGTCTTCCAACCATTGAGATAATTAATTCATTAAATTATTGAATCTGAAGTATTAATATAATATATTTAATTTAATGATAATTTACTCATCAAGTTGTTATGAGTCAATTTTAGTTTTTATGAGGCTGGACTATGACATGGTGAAAGACATGGCTATGAGAAAGTAATGACATAGCTATGACAAAGTAATTAACTTATAATTTACAGCTTTTTTAGGTAAAATTGCATAATTAAGTGATTGATTATATTTATCCCTCTCAATTTAAGTTTAGCATATATATCCTTTCAAAGTATGAAAACTTATATACATGGTCATTATTAAAATATTAAATAATATTATACCTTTTAAAATTCATTATGATTATGAGAAAATTGCAGATATATTTGATCTATTATACTAACTCATACTATTTAATATTAACAAAAATTAACAATGGTTAATATAAGTTTGCAACATGATGTGTGTGCGTGTATATATATATATATATATATACACACACACACGTATGTTATACAGTAGCACTGACATTAAAGCATCATGGTGTGCAGGACTAGTCCAGGGTTGGGCTGCTATGGTTATGGGGATCTTATCAGGGAGCATCCCCTGGTACACCATGATGGTGGTGCACAGGCGATGGGCCTTCCTCCAGAAGATCGACGACACGCTCGCCGTGTTCCACACCCACGCCGTCGCCGGTTTCCTAGGCGGCGCCAGTACCGGCCTCTTCGCCGAGCCCGTTCTCTGCAGCCTCTTCCTGCCCGTCACCGGCTCCCGCGGAGGCGTTTACGGCGGCGTGGGTGGCGTCCAGTTCCTTAAGCAGGTCGTCGGCGCCGGGTTCGTCGTGGCGTGGAACGCCGTCGTCACCACCCTAATCTGCGTGGCCATACGAGTAGTCACCCCGCTTCGCATGTCCGAGGAACAGCTCAAGATCGGTGACGACGAGGTGCATGGCGAGGAGGCTTACGCGCTGTGGGGCGACGGTGAGAGGTTTGACGTAACGAGGCATGGATCGAACTCGGAATCAGAGTCGCAACAGCTTCATGTTCCGACTGGTGTAACGCAGAATGTCTAAGGAGTAGGGGAAGGCTGTGGTGGTGGTGGCTGTGAGTGCAAACCGAGGTGGTTTGAAGGCAGTGCAGGATTCCTGGTTCTTCAGTGTTCACGCCATATATGATGCTTGTTAAGGCGCGTGTGGCTATGGTGATGGGAGGAAGTGATTCTTCGTTTATTTTAATGAAAGATACTCGCACAAAGAAAACATCTTTGACCTAAAAGATTCTTCTCCAAGTAGCAGTGAATCTTAGCTACTTCTGTATGGCAATTTTAGAGAGAGAGAGAGAGAGAGAGAGAGAGAGATCCTATTAACTTGTGCAGGTCCAGACACTGTTTGAAAAGGAGAAGTTGTGAGAACTATAAGAGTACATGATTTTAAATAAGCAACTAATAAACATAAAATCGATACAAGTAATTGGTTGTAGAACTCACAAAAAAAGTATTTAACATGAAGCAACAAATCTCGGTTTTGCTCCATCTAATAAGTCCTCGTCACAAATCGGATATCATAATAACATAATCCATTCAAGTCATTATATAGAAGAATTTGTTGATTCCAAGTCATTTGTTGCAAATCCTAAGACAAAAAATTTAAGGCAAAATGTTAGAGTCCAGATCATTCAAAACAACATCGATGTTGCATGGGTCTTATATCACCATTTTGTCCTTCACTTAATCCACAAATCGGCATGTGACATCATATGCATCACCCTTCGTCAAAATACAAACGACATTATCAAAAACAGACTCATAATATATATATATATATATATATTAGGATCAAGTTTGCAGGGGAGGTTGAATTAGTACTTATGAAAATATTAAGAAGGTGTGAAGGGGAGTAAGCAGTCAAGTCAATAAGCAATATGAAGAAAAAATAGAATAGGAATGACAAAGTAGAGATCACTCCCGATTCCTCTTTGTTGAAGCTACCGGCGTCCACTAATGATCTTTCTTTAATTGGCGAATATCAACCATTTTCTTACAGCTCTTTTTCCTTTTTACGGGTTTAGGAGACAATCCTTACAAATCTCACACTTCTCTTGAATGATCACAAAACTAGAAAGGGAGGAGGAGGACTCTTAGTACTTTTTCAACACTTTCACACCCCAAAATCTCAAGACTTCTATTCACACTTTCGTTGTTCTTCTATGTAGAAAAGAGTGAGATATTTGTAAGCCCCAATGACTTCAAAAATGAAGTTAAAAAGTGTCTTATCCTGTGTTTCCGAGGTACTAGTGGTACTATTGTCATTATTGGATGGTACCACCGTCTGCGGACTAACATTGGGCGATACCACTGCCTAGTTTGGGCGGTACGATTGCTTGACAAAGTCTTGGAGACCGGGCTCTAGCAATACCGTCGCTTGATAACATTAATTGCCGGTGGTACCACCGCCCAGACCACTTGGGAGATTGAGCCCCAAGCAGTTCCACAGCTTGACATAGCTCCAAGTGGTTGAATGAATCATCTAGTCAGCCCAATTCAGCTTAGTTATAGGCCTAGTTGGCCCATGATTGAGTTAGTAGGATTTTTTTCAAAACTAACTCAAATCAAAGTTCGGCTAAAATAATTATTCTACTTGCAATCTTAGTTGTCTTGCACATAAATGATTCAATCGAACTCTCGATAAACTTCTGACGAATTCCTAGCAATCTTCCGACGAACTCTCGGCAAACCTTCGACGAGCTTTCACTACATCGTCTGATCCTTTAGTGTATCCCTTGATTCATCTGACCCGATGCCCGATTATTGATTCCAACCTAACTATGATTCTTCTTTAATCATTTTGCTTTTCTAACAATCATAGTCCTACATCACTTATCTCAACATATAGATTAGATCATTAATTCACATGTGATCATCAAAATTCGAGATTTAATAACATTAAAATAAAAATAATAGCTAATTACTTATATATATATATATATATATATATATATAATTTCCCTTTTAATAAATGTTGGACGGATTTTTATAATACTTGTAATATGCGTTTTTTTTGGGAAACCGTTATAATCTGGAGAAGTTTCGGATGATATGATGATAACAGTTACGAACAGGAGGAAGTCGGGAGGCGAAACCGTTATGTCCTCTATCTCCCTCTCCGCTTCCCGCTTCCGAACCCTAGCGTTTCTTCGATCGCCCACAGGCGACTGCATAAGAGGCCCGCGCGCCCATGGAGCTCCATATGAACCACGCCATGGCGGAGAAGCGTCACGCCGCCCAGAATCGTCGTCCAACTGCCGTCCGATGGTTCAAGGAATGGTGCGGCGCCTTTTCCCCCAACCCCCCTCCTCCTTCGTCGTTCCCCTCTTTGAAATCTCTTGTTTTCTTTGTGTTGATTGGTTTCTTGGTCTTGTGGGTTAGGGTCTCTTGATTGGCTTGATCCGGAAGCAATTAATTTGGTTTCTTGGATGATTGATCTAGGGTTCCGCAAGACGTGGTTGCGACGGGTGGGAAGTGCATGCTTTTGAAGTGGGTTACGGGTATGTTTCTGTCGTGATTGCTGTATGGCTATCAAGTTGTAAAGATTGAATCTTTGTCCGATGGAGTCCTAAAAACTTCTTTGGTCTCTAATTTTCCCACATCAGAGTAGGAGTCTTGACATGCGTTTTTGATTCATGTCAAATCTTTCTCCTTCTTATTGTTTTTTCTTATATATTGCTTTCTTTACCAAATATCAACTTTCTGTAACAGAGGTACCTATGACTAATGTGAGAATTCTGATGTATCTGATCATGAACAGTTTAAGCTCATGTACAATATTATTTGTCAGATGTCCCTTATGTTGAAGCTCTTTTGTTTGTTTATTGTGTTACATACTGTTGACAGTTAGCAGTTTGAGTGCATAAGATGTCTGAAGAAAAGAATTTGAGTTTTTACTATGGCATGATTACTTAAATTTTCACATATCATTCTCCGGAATAATTAGGATTTTTAATATATTCTTGCAAGCCTATTAGCTAGATATGTGGCTCTTGCATGACTTTTCCATTTTGATCAATAATTTAATTAGCATGGATTTCCTAATTGCTTACCTTTCATGTTATCTGACTCGTAGTAATTGGGCCTTCGTCATGTTTTAATTAGAGGATATGCTAAAAGCTTTGAAAGAGAAGAATAAGGAAACAGAAGCAGAAGAGCAGAAACCTGAACCAGCTACAGAAGTTCTATTCCTCTGCAGCTATGAAGGTTGTGGGAGAACTTTTATTGATGCAGGGGCTTTAAAGAAACATGCTCACATCCATGGAGAGAAGCAACACATTTGCCAATACGATGGATGTGGAAAGGTGACCTGCTTCATTTTTTGTTTACCGTTGCTTTCAAATCTTACAATGTTCTTTTCATCTGGAAGCTGAAAGTTCCTATATATTTCAATTGTACCTGATTGTATTTTTTTAAAAAAACTTATCTGTTAATTTTACACCTATCCTTAACAAAGTTTTTTTCTTTTTTATTTTTTGCTCCTTCCTTTTGTTCTCCAAAATGAGGGTTGTTTTCTTAGTAAAATGTGGTTAATTCAGTGATTAAAGCAAAAAAATTATCTAAGAAGTCAGGAGTCAAATTTCCACATATCTTTTTCACTAAAAGAGGATATTTTTGCACAAATTTGTCGTATTTGTCAAATATATATTGCTTAGGTGATTGAAGTTAATATAAATCAACTTATTCTCCGAAAATATAGAGTTTACAATATGTTTTGGTCTATCTATTGTTACTTTGGCATTGTTTGGTCACTTGTAGTTCAATTAGCTTCACACACGAGTATTTATATGAGATGTTTCTGACAGATGAGGTAGCTTCTCATGTTTCTTCTCTTTCTAAGATCAACCTGTATCTTGCAGAAGTTTTTAGACAGTTCGAAGTTGAAGAGGCATTATCTTATTCATACAGGTGAAAGAGATTTCATATGCCCCCATGAAGGCTGTGGTAAGGTGATTGTTCTATCCTTTATTGGTAAATGTACACCATAAATGTGAAGCTCCACTTTGATTTCTCTGACTTTTCCCAATTGCACTTTGAATTCTATGCCATGTTGGAGTTCCATTTTGATCTCATGTTTTGTTTCATTTCTAGATCATTTTCTACATAATTCTTTTACTATTGCCACAGTTTTCCCTGTATTTTTATGTACTTTATATTAACTTTTGACAAAGTTATGACTTGCAAAGATTTGAACTGCAGGCCTTCTCATTGGATTTTAACTTGAGGGCACATATGCGGACGCATTCACTAGAAAATTATCATGTTTGTCCTTACCCAGAATGTGCGAAGAGATTCACAAATGAAAGCAAACTACGAACCCACATAAAGACACAACACGAGAAGGTAGTCAATCCTAATTGATTTTGAATTGTATGCTAGTGTTTTATATTGCAGTACTTAATTTATTGCACTTAAGTTTTTTTTTTGAAGAAGATATTTTTATTGCATTAATGGCATACAAGACGCCCACCTATCACTTATGCAACAATGCACTAACCAATCGGATGTCTTAACAGAGACTTTATCGTGCCTAAGTCGCTCAACACATGATTCTTTAGGTGATTTTATCATTTGAGAATAACTCTATTTTTGTGGATAGCATTTTACAAGGCTTTTGCATTAGATGGCATCACCCTTGGAGGCTTAGACAAACAAGTCTGAGCTTCGTAAACAATTCTATGTTGCATTGATTTAAGCTGGTTCAGCAAAATTGTCATAATTACAAGTTTAATTTCTTTACCTTTTAGCAGCCTAAATGTGTAGTAGTCCTTTTTGTAGATGTGTAGCATTCTTGTTCATATTCATTTGACCTTGTTTATGGAGTTCAAAAGAATCTACAACTTGCTGAATAAATACTCTTCTAAATTTCTATAAGGCAGTAATAATGGTCTACAAGACCAGGATGTGCTTCTCTCTTCATTTCTGGATTTGGTTATTTATGATGCTTGCTTTGAAGAAGCCAGGCCAGCAGGCTTAGGCGTCATTTAGTAACAACTCAGAGCAGGCTAGAATTATGTTATAAATTATGGTGCTGTACTGAAGCATTTCATTGTAGAAGTTTCCTCATTTGTTTCGTCTAAGCTCAAGTTGTCTCAATTGAATTGTTTGGACTTGTGAGCTTCTTTCCTTCCACTGTTTCTTATCCTTTATTTTCATCCTATTTTCCCATTTGTCTCGATTGAAATATGTGAACTATTGAGCTTCTTTACGTCCAGTTGCTATTTGTACTTCATTTTCAGTTCAGTCCCTACCTGAGTAACCAGCTAGTGCTAGGTGATAGATCTAATAAATTGTTTCTAGAACCTATGTAACCTATGTAGATGGTTGTACCTCTTATGACCATGTCAAATACCAACTTTATAGATTTATGAAGTGCCTCCATGTCCAGAAGGTACTATACCATTGGTAACTTAAGCATTTTATGTCAATGTTGACAAGCATCCATGAGAATTAGTTGTCTGATATGTGGGCTGCCTATATATGCATATATTAATATCACAATATAGTTATTGATAGAAGTTAATTAAAACTAGGGCAACTTCTTTGGAAAACCTCTCTTTTTGGGCTTTTCCTAAGAGGTGTCCCTTTTCCATATTTGTGCCCCTTATTTGTCGTAATCTCTGAAATGTCCCTTGATAAGACAACTGAAGTAGTGTTTTTGTAAATCACTGTAAGCTTAATTAAAAATATTATAATTGAAGGATTGGACTAGTTCACCTATGAACTTGTTCATCTGATGGTCTTATCAGGGGAACGATTCCTCGGTTAATTATTCTTCAGTTAAACTGTTTTTGGTTAATCTTACAGTATTTTGAAAAAACACCGTAAGTATATTAAAAAATACTATAACTAACATAGAAGTCTTTCTATTTGGTCAATCTTGTTCCCAAGGATACCTATTTGAAACCCTGGTTGTCTTGTTCCTGAAGATACCTATTTGAAACTCTACTTTTGTATATAAGCTGGATTCTATTAGGTTTTGGGTCCATTTGCTTCAGCTACAACCTTATAGGTGTATAGTATTTTGGAGGTACTACCAAAAATGCTATCAAAAATTCTATAAGCTTATTCAAAAGCACTGTAACTAATATAGAAGTCTTCCTATTTGTTGTTATTGTTCATAAACCAATAGTGATACGTATTTGAGATCCTATTTTTATATATGAGTGGGTTTTTATTGGTTTTGAGTTTGTTTACAATGTTTCTTAATGGACTCATGATATTTTGGTGAAGTGTCAAAAATACTTTTGAAGCCTATTCAAAAATCTTGTAATCGTAAATCTTATATATGGGGATTGGACTGGTCTATAGCATAATGATAACTTTACCTTATAGGCTGGTTCATAGGGTGTAACATACCTGCACAAGTTGTTTTGTCCTTTGGGAATTTTGAAAAGGGGCACCTTATTTGAAAAACTCAAAAAGGACTTTGTCCGAAAATTCTCCATTAAAACTAAACAAGAAGGTAAAGGAAAATTTGGAAATAATGTATACTTAGAACATGGTCTACTAATGTATACCATGTTTTCGGTTGTATTGCTTTAAAGAGCTATCACATTTGACATAAACATTTTTTGAACGAAAAACTTATATTGATGATTGCAATTTCTCAATTCGGCTTGTATCGACCAACATTTATTGGTCTTAGTCCTAATTGAGACGGGACTGCTCCCATTCGGACAGTCCGGTCCATAAAATAATTGTTTAAAGAGAATCATCGCCTCTTCCTCTTCCTTCATTGCCTCCACTTCTTCCTTCCTCTTACTTCTTCTCGTCCTCTACCATCACCTCTTCTTCCTTCCTCCTTCCTCCTTCCTCCTTGTCCTCTATCGTCACCTCTTCTTTCTTCCTCCTATCTCCTTGTCCTCTACCACTGCCTCTTCTTCCTTCTTCAAAGAAGATAACATTCCATATCCAACTTGAAAAAAAAAAATTCGATGATATATTCTTGATAGACTTCCATCTTATGTGAATCTTTTTCCTCTACAATTACGATTCATAATCTTTATTCAAATTCAGATTTTGATTTATTTTCATTTTTTCACATTTGCTTCGTTTCTGTTTTTCTTGAATAATATAGGAAACTAAAATTACGAGTATTCTAGATGTTGTCATATGATAACATTTTCAATTTGCATAAACACCCAAAAGTAATATATCTTAATTTGAATAAACAATAATTACCATGATCTCGCATCAATATTAAATAGACAAACATATAAAAATGACTATTTATTTTAGAGATTAGAAGGCAACAAAGGTTTAAAGAGGCGCAACTATTGCGGCGTAAGCTAATATGATCTATCGCACAACCACTTTATCTATTGTTCAACTTTGATTTTAGCAATGTTTTTGCGTGGATAGTTATAGATGTAATACAGAAGTCCTGGATAATTTTTTTAGCTCAAATTTCAAGACATTTTGTACGGTAATTTACTTGCACAAAACTAATGCAAGCCAATGATTTGGTTTGATGTTCATCAAAGGTTCCGAATACACGTGTAAGGACCTTCGACAAAATCCATCAAACTAATTTAGCTTTCATTTCTGAGGATGTAACTCGTTACCTGACACTAGATAGCTATCGGTGAGATGAAGTCCTTGAAGTAGCTTATGCACTGATAAAGACATGTATTTTTCTGAATTATAAATGGTCAAATAGAACCTGACATTATATTTGGTCGTATGAAATCTCTAATCTAAGTTTTATATCACAGAGCACAGTGATGGATACGGTGAAGCACACTACACCAGTGGAAAAGCCACATACTACCCCCAAGTTATCTGCAGCTGCATATGGTTCCGGTTCTGCAGAGCGTCCGTACGTCTGTCCATACGAAGGTTGTGGGAAAGCCTACATCCATGAGTACAAATTGAATCTCCATTTTAGAAGGGAACATCCCGGTCATAACTCAGAGGAAAACGGTAAACCTTCTCCGGCTGTCGACCAAGCTGCGGAGGAAGGCAGTGATCAGGAAGTGTACCTCGCAAAACGCAGCGTCGGCAAGAACTCAAAGCGGAGCAAGCCCAACCTGACGCCGCAGATGCCACCTGCAAAAGTTTCGAACCGCAAAGGCACAAGTTCGACTCCCAAGAAGAGTACACCGGTGGTGGTGGTCAAGAAGCAATTGCCGAGCAAAGAGATGTATGAGGAAGACAGCGAGGAAACAGAGGAAGACCAGGATAATGTCGAAGAAGAAGATGGAGGATGGAGATGTCAGGAGGTGAACAGGGACGACGAGGAGACAGAGGAGGAAGAATGAGCGACGGTAGTTGCCGCCTATGTTGTTTTGAATAATAACGACAATGTCGTTATGAGCAATGGTTATTTTATCTCGATGTATTTGCTTCAGAGTTGTTGTTTAATATCGACGAATGTGATGAAAGATGAGTGTAAAATTGATCGTGGGGGGTTATTCCTTATTCTATTTCCGAATCTGTATATGTCAAACAATACTAGCATCGATGCCGTACCACATTGCCTGTAGAGTACAGCTAAAATAATAAGCTTGCTGACATTATGATTGGAATCCTATCAAATTAACATAATAAAATGTTAGCATATATCATAGTGTGATTGGTTTCTTTTGACATAATGGTGAACTCGATAAATTGTGATCTAATTTGGTGTTGCTTTGTGTTTTCACGAAGCAGATCATTAAGTTGGTGACAAGAAGGGGTGTAACAAAACAACCAGAGACATGATGGATACGGGTCCATGAACACCACCACCAAAGCAAAACGTATTAACCTGACATAACAAACAATGACAAATAGAATCAGGGGTTATGTTAGTCCGCAAACTTTTACATGCAGGAGTGAATGGCATGTATTGGGTCAAAAATAATATTATGACTGTTGTTATTACTGAACAATCTGTAGAATGTCAACACCACTACCCTGCAGGACTGAATGGCAAAAACAGATGCATTTATTGGGTCAAAATAATTGGGACTTTATGACAGTTGTTATTATTGAACAATCTGTAGCATGTCAACAACACTACCCTGCGATGATGATCACCCCGAAAAAATAAGTTTACCAACAAATCCATTTTCCCAAAATAAATTTCAGGCAATCAATGAATGTCCGAAACAACCAACAAATCCATGTTCCCAAAATAAATTTCACGCAATCAACGAATTTACAAAAACAGCTGAACAGTGACGATAACTGCATGTTAACGTTCTCATCCAAGATCTGCTGTTTGTGCTGGAATTTATGAGGAAATATTCACTTGTTGAGATCCATGTAAGCAAATCCAAATACCAGGCTTTGAGATGCCAAACTAGTGTATGTACAGATAATGGGATTCAGAGACGTCTCTGACGAAACAATGTTACAGAAAAAGGAAAAAAGAAATTAATACGGCATGCATCAAATACCCTGAGGCACAACCCACTTAGGACGAGCCAAACTCCAATGACTACTTCATAGGAAAACAAAATGCTATGAATCTTGGCAAATAAATAAAATGACAACCTGCAACTTTGCTACCGATGGATGCCTGTCATCGAAGTCCTGAAGTATTCATGATGTTTCTTGGGCGTTCGAACTGTTGCGTCTGAGAGGGCAGAGCAAATTATCAGAGTAATTGTATCTTTATTGCCGAATGTTATTAACACTAACAAAAGAATGCAGCGAAAGAGAAACAGATTTTATTTCAACCATGCAGTCTGGAAAGGCATAAAATAACCATCAGCACAAATAGTTTATTGGACTATGGTGAAGGTCAGGCTTTCCTAAAACCTTGGAATAACATCTTATCCTTTGGTATGGTTTCTCATCGTGCAACTACGAAAGGCAATCACTTCTGATGCATAAAATCAAATAGAAGGGTGTCAAACTCACTGGTCCTACTGATGATAATTTATTGTGCAAAACCAAGAAAGTTTAACCGCTAGAGGGGTGAATAAATTCTGTTCAATGTCAGTAGCAAACCATCTTATAAATTTCATATAGATCCGGAGCCTATTCACTGTTTTGCTAAGATCATGGAAGGAAAATAGGGCATAATGTGCATAAGATTCTCACTAACCAAATTAACATTCCTACAATTTTAACATTACATCTGTTTCATTCTTTCAAATGACACGAATAAGCCATTGCTATTTCTGCTATTTACCTATGAATTCAACTTCTCTTCTGCTATTTTACTGGATGTGTGATAGGTTACATAAGCAAGAAGAGAATGTTTTTTTGTGAACTAGCCCTAGGTCCTCTAAATTGGTTATTGTTTACCAGGTCTTTAACATTTGCTTCTTATGATTACAATGTAGAAGTGTCATTACATTCCCCAAATAGTTGGGACACTGCAACATAAGTTGTAGTAGTTATTATACATCACCTAAAATTTAATAGCTATATTGTTGCATTCTTGTCCTAGATAGATCTCTAGGTAGATTTATCCTTCTTGGACTTAAAATTGCCAGTTGTTTGAGTCAAGAATTACCATATTTCTGTCTACAAGCATATACTCCAAACCTTATCCAGATTGTGGAGAAGCCCCCTTCTTTACATGGTTTCAACTGAACCAGGTGATACATACCAGTCAAGGTTATAAATCCTGGTCTAATACCGGTTTCCACAACTAGTCTGATTGGTATAGTATCAGTAACACTGGATGGTATACTAACCTATACTGCCTATATCACTGAAGATTAAAGAAAAATAGACCCAGCTGGATACTTTAAGCCAGTATAACACTGGTACATGGTAGAACAATCTATATTTTAGTCCATTCAACGGTCAATTAGTTTAATAATTATTTGTACACAAATATTTTTTTATCAAATCAATCTTGCTTCATATGATCTTATCGTCATTTGATCAATTAAAAGTTATACATGAGATAACAGATAACGATAAGTATCATCGCTTATTAGTTAATTAATAATACATGAGAAATCTTCTCCTCTCCTCCCTTCTACCTCTCTTCCCATCACCTCTTCCTTTCTTCTCCTTCCATCTCTCATCTCTTCTCTCTTCTCCTCTCCTACCCTCTCTTCCTATCCGTTCCATATATAATCATCTCTGTATTTCATTTGGCCATAATAGCATATATACTGTGAGGTGTCATCTTTAATATAATTGAAAGACAGTTCATATTTCTTGCATTGATGTTATCTAACATAGAGGTTACAAAATTATATCTAATTTGCCAAGCACAATATTCCTTTACATAATAGATTATTATTTGGATGTGGAAAGTGTCATGATAAGAATTTAGAAACTGTTAGGATGTGCAATAATATTATATGGTCCGTTTACATATGCAAATTTCATCTAAATTCTAAGTTACATTGATATATGTAACCAATGTTTCTTATTAACCATATTCCTATTTGAAATATACTATTTATAAATTTCTTTAGGTATATATATGTATCTTAAAATTATAATTTTTATTTTTTTTACAGTTAGTATGATCTTACAATCTTACAATCCGATCCTATGATTTGAGTTTGTGACCCCTTACGATCCTAGGTAGGACAGCGAATTTGATAGTCTTGCACAAGAACCTTCAAGGACATGAAGGCCTGTTACAGTGAAGGATAAAAAAAAGAGGGCTTTTGAAGGCCAAGGGTATGAAAAATTGAAAATGATTATAAAAATGAAGATGAAAGTTTGTTGTTCTCTTGCAACTTCAAGGGAGGCCTCAGAATAGTCATTCATAGCTTTTTGACAAGAAGAATATTCAACAAGCAAAAAGAAGTGTTCATGCATTGACTAGTGTTGCTGTGCAGAAATTGCACATGGTCACAAGGATGTAGACATCCGCTGTCACTTTAACATCTTAGGACTTCTGATTTAGTGGTGTATATCACTATGATGTCATGTCTCTTTGAGGAATTATGTAGTTGATGAAAATCCTGTGGGCCTCGCTGTCAAGCCAAAGGAAGCCTTGACTTTTATTTAAATAATCAATTGTGGCTACATAAATTATATCCGGTTCATTTAATGACAATTGTGGCAATGTCACCTAATATGCATTTTTTTTCTATGTTTTCATTCATAATGATTGGCTCTTTGACATCTTTGTGGCACTGGTTTTCTCTTTATTCCTTTTCCCTTTTTGGCATAGCCATATTCCTTTGCAAAAATTAACTCTGAGTTGAGTCCTAAATATTTTTCCAACTTGAATCATGCAGTCAAATCATATTTCTGGCATTTTAACCGATACCACATATCTCTTAACTGCCAACTAATGCAATCATATGCAAGTAAAAGAGGGTGGTTAAGGAATTGTGGTAACTTATGCTAAAGGGATGGGTTCCTCCAATCACCTCTCCTTGCAGTTTTTGGGCCCCTAACCAGGAGGTATACAAACTTGCAAAGATGAACATATGGATATGTGACATGCCCCAACTCACTAATAAGCCTCTTCTATGCAGTCAGAAAGAAAAATAAGTTGAAATATAGATATGCAATTTGTTTGGTCTTGAGCTTTATTTCCTTTTAATTGAATGTAAAAGTATTGTTCTTTTTTTCTTGTAGGTATACCATGCTAATACGCAGACAATCATAATCGACGAGTATGAGCCATATGGAAATAATACATGATCATAAAACTAGATAACATAGATGATCCAATAGAACTAACATCATTAATGAAACAAGATGAAATCACCAATAAAACAGATCAAAGATCAAGATTTTAACAACTGCTAAGGAATTAAGAGGAAAAGAGAGGAGGGAAACCTTAGAGCGGGATTGGAGTTATACAATCGGGTGAGGCGGTGAGTGTCGCGGGGTTTGGGCTTCGCAGGCTTCTTCCGGAGGCCGCAGATCTCTTGCACCAGCGGAACGTGAATCAACACCGTCTTCCACGCCACGAACCAACCTGTAGAAGAATCGAAGCTGAGGTCAAACAGGAATCGAGAAGACAGAGAGGATCTAGGGTTTCGTGGACTAGAGCTAACTGAGGAGAATCAAGGACAGGACGAAGGAGACGGCAAGGAGAGGGCGGAGGAGGAAGACGGTAGCGTGCACCCATAACCACCACCACCAGCAGCGATCCCCGTCGCCAACGCCGGACGAGTCATCGAGCATTATGCGATCGGAATCGAACCCTAATTCTCCGTCTCCTTCAACGGAGGGGGAAAACGAGAGAGAGAGAGAGAGAGAGAGAGAAAGAGGGATCAGAAATGCTCGAAGAAAAGGATCCGTGCGCTGCGAGGGAAAACGACAAATACGTAATGTGTAATCTTCTTCATCCCTCTCCTTAATGATGATTAGTTTCGCTAATACACTTAATTTTAGATCGATCTAATCGATCTCTTATGGGGGTGGATACCCATCTATCCGTCCTACAAGTGGCTCTATATATATATAATTGACTATGAAAAAATAGTACTAATACCGATATATATATATATATATATATATATATATATATATATATATATAAATATAATCCAATTCAATTAGTATTAGTACTATCTTTTCATTGTCAATTATAAGAGGGCTAGAGATAAATCTTGTCATTGTTAATTATATATTTCACCACTATCTTTTCATGTTTTATGTTTGATTACTAAGCAATCTGAAACAAATAAAAAAGAGTTTTATGATTAATACTTAAGGAAACTGAAACAACTGGAAAAGCACAAAAGGAGAAAAAATAATGAAATATACTTGATAGATTGGAAATCCTTCAAAAGAAAATTAATTTCTAATCCATGATCAAAGCTTTTGCATGAGTTAACAAACAATTTGCTGCAAACAAGTGTCCAGGCATAGATAATCCTGATTCTAAATTCATGCACAATTATATCCTACTGAAATTT